GCCAGGGCTGGGTTTGAACCTGCCACCTCCAGCATATGGGGCTGGTGCCTTACTCCTTTGAGCCACAGGCGCCTTACTCCTTTGAGCCACAGGCGCCACCCTAAAGATATTTTAAAATAAATAACTTATTGAATAGTCTTATTCACATAAAAAAATAAATAATTTACACCTTCAAGAAAAGGAAAGCAACTAGAGCAATATACAACATTTAAAAGTCTATGTAAACAAAATTAAGAAAATAATACCGAAATAAAAAAAAGAAAAAAGAAAACTAATGCCCCAACTCCCCCAGTCACTACGGTGTGCAATCCCTCGGGGTTTTCTGTATTCTTTTTTTTTTTAAAAAAGGAGTACACCTGACGTATTACTATTTTACGTATTTATAGTTGTGGGTTACATTTTATGGTGTCTTATCTTTCTTCAAGGATTTTATCCTGGAACATTACAGCGAAGACAGCTATTTATATGAAGATGAAATTGCAGATCTTATGGATCTGAGACAAGTAAGTTTTGGGTGTGGCAGAGAAAGGAGGGCAGTTGCTGGGGTTTCTGAGTCTTTGGTGTTTCCCGTTCCACACATGCTGTGGTCTGGCAGGGTCAAGGGTGAGGGGCGCTGATGTCCAGCTTGTCCGTTCCACTTGCCGCATAGGGAAGCCACACCAGGGGCGAGGCTGGAGCTGGACTCCAGGGCTCCTGACTCCATCCCAGGCCCTTTCCACTCCTCCTGGAGTGCAGGGCACCGGCCACAGGGCCCGTCCCATCTGTGTGCGCAGGGCACCTCCGAGACCAGGCCGCTTGCCGGGGTCCTCTGCTCAGCCCTCCCTACTTCTCTTCCTTTCAGGCTTGCCGGACGCCCAGCCGGGACGAGGCCGGGGTCGAACTGCTCATGGCTTACTTCCTGCAGCTGGGCTTCGTGGAGAGCCGCTTCTTCCCGGCCACGCGGCAGATGGGCCTCTTGTTCACCTGGTAGGTGCCTGAGGTCTGCGGAGGTGCCAGCCCTTGGGCACCACAGTCTCAGGGTCTCAGCTCCTTTTGTGCCTGTGCATCTGTGCAGGGGAGTCTGGAGAGAGGTCAGTAAGCTGGAGCTTACTTATGAAGGGCATCGGAGAGCAGCTCCAACACACCGTGGCTCCTTGCTGCTAGAACAAGGGCGCCGAGGAGAAGAGGCATTTTTTTTCCTTCTGTGCTCATTGTTATCCCTGAGGGGACCCATGGGCTCTGCGGTGAAACTAACAAGCAGCGAGACTTTTGTCCTGGGTTGGACAGGGGTGTGTGTCTATATGTGTATTGATGAGAGAGAGAGCACACATGTGTCCATGCAGGAGCCGCTTAGGTTTGGCGCAGATGAGACAAGAGCTGCTAACAGACATAGTTCAGGTTTTAAAAACTGAAGAAGTGGCTCGGTGCCTGTGGCTCAGCGGGTAGGGCGCTGGCCAAATCGCCAAACTGCAATTCAAACTCGGTCCCGGCCAAACTGCAACAAAAAATAGCCAGACATTGTGGTAGGCACCTGTTGTCCCAGCTACTCAGGAGGCTGAGGCAAGAGAACTGCCTAAGCCCAGGAGTTGGAGGTTGCTGTGAGCTGTGTGATGCCATAGCACTCTACCTAGGGCAATAAAGTGAGACTCTATCTGTACAAAAAAAAATAAAAAATAATAAAAACCGAAGAAGGGGCTTGGTGCCCGTAGCTCAGTGAGTAGGGCCCTAGCCACATACGCCGAGGCTGGTGGGTTTGAGCCTGGCCAGGGCCTGCTAAACAGCAATGACAACTGCAACAAAAAAATGGCCAGCCATTGTGGTAGGTGCCAGTGGTCTCAGCTACTTGGGAGACTAAGGCAAGAAAGTCACTTAAGCCCAAGAGTTGGTGGTTTTTGTGAGCTGTGATGTCACAGCACTCTATGGGGGGTGACAAAGTGAGACTCTGTCTCAATAAAAAAAAAAAACTAAAGAAGGCCAGGTTTGGTGGCTCACACCTGTAACCAGCACTCTGGGAGGCTGAGGCAGGTGGATCACTTGAGCTCAGGAGTTGAAGACCAGCCTGAGCAAGAGCTAGACCCTATCTCTACTAAAAATAGAAAAATTAGCCGCATGGCATGTTGGGCGCCTGTAGTCCCAGTTACTTGGGAGGCTGAGACAGGAGGATTGCTTGAGCCTAAGAGTTTGAGGTTGCTGTGAGCTGTGATGACACCATGGCATTCTACCCAGGGCAACAGAGTGAGATGTCCCAAAAAAAAAGGGCTGTGCCTGTGGCTCAGAGGAGTAGGGCACTGGCCCCATATGCTACAGGTGGCAGGTTCAAACCCAGCCCTGGCCAAAAACTGCAAAAAAAAAAATGGAGCAGAACATTTGATTGTTTTCCAGAATTAGTACTTTCAAAGATGAGCGTCGTTTAAACACTTTGGACGTGCCCTTCCTCTTGTTTAGACCCAGTCGGTTGCCTTTGAGGGTGAGAGGGCTAAAGGTGGTTTCTCCTTTGTCTGGAATTAGGGAGGAGTTCCCTGCCTTCCTCCTGGTTATCATGGGAACTTTAAAACTAATCCTGCAAGGCCTTAGTACAAGTAATTACTGTATTTCCTTTAGGAAACCTCATTGTTTAGAGCATTTTTAGGTTCATGGTAAAACTAAGGAGAAAGTTTAGAGTTCCCATGTGCTGAGTGGAGTGCTGAGGCGTCATGCTCAAGTGATCCTCCTGCTTCAGCCTCCCGAGTAGCTGAGACTACAGGCACCTGTCACAGTGCCCGGCCGGTTTTTCTATTTTTAGTAGAGATGGGGTCTCACTCTTCCTCAGGCTGGTCTCCACCTCCTGAGCTCAAACAGTCCACCCACCTTGGCCTCCCAGAGTGCTGGGATGGCAGGTGGCAGCTACCGCACCTGGCTGTACATTTGTTACAGTTGATGAACCCGCCTTCAGAATCCATCCATCATCCACGTGGGAGTTAACTTTTGTTCTTATGCTTCCCTCTGTGCACACGTGCGCAGTCAGTAAGTTCCGATTTAATGAGTACATGTGGTGTTTCCTGCTCCCTTCTTTGGATACTTCACTTAGGTTAATGGTTCCAGGTCCACCCAGACTGTTGCAAAAGGCCTTAAGTGACCCTTCTTCATGTCTGAGCATATTCCATGCTATACATATACCACCTCTTATTGATCCCCTCATGAACTGATGGGCACTTGGGTGGATTCCATGTCGTTGCACTTGTGCCTTGTGTTGGAATAAACATTTGCATGCAGGTGGGGTTTTTTGGGGTAAAATAACTTCTCTTCCTTTGGGTAAATACCCAGTGGGATTGCTGGATCAAGGGGTAGGCTTTCCTTTAATTCCTGGAGTAATCTTCATACTGTTTTCCATAGAGGTGGTTTTTTTTGTTTGTTTGTTTGTTTTTCAGTTTTTGGCCGGGGCTGGGTTTGAACACAGCACCTCTGGTATATGGGGCCAGCACCCTACTCTTTTGAGCCACATGTGCTGCCCCATAGAGGTGGTATTAATTTGTGGTCCCACCAACAGTGTATAAGTATTCCTTTCACTCTGCATCCACACCAGCATCTCTTGTTTTGGGACATTTTAATAAAACCCATTCTAACAGGAATAAGGTGATATTGTGAATTTTTTTTTTTTTTTTGAGACAGAGTCCCACTGTGTTGCCCTCGGTGGAGTCCTGTGGCGTCACAACTCACAGCAACCTCAAACTCTTGGGCTCAAGTGATTCTCTTGCCTCAGCCTCCCTAGTAGCTGGGACTACAGGC